ACCAACTCATGGTTCTGGAACCTAGATAGCAAGCTTCCACGCACCTCTGTCCATGGCTAGTTCTTTGGTGATACTCCAATCCTTCAGATCTCTCTTTACGAACTCTTCCCATGTCAAGTTCAGTCTACCCCGACCTCTCTTGAAATTATCAGCACGCTTTAGCCGTCCGCTATGCACTGGAGCTTTTGGAGGCCTGCGCTGAATATGCCCAAACCATCTCAAACGATGTTGAGCAAACTTCTCTTCAATCAATGCTACCCCAACTCTATCTCATATATCATCATTCCGGACCCGGTCCATCCTTGTGTGGCCACACATCCATCTCAACATGCGCATCTCCGTCACACCTAACTGTTCAACATGTCGTCTTTTGGTCAGCCAACACTCAGCGCCATACAACATTGCGGGTCCAATCGCCATCCTATAGAACTTGACTTTTAGCTTTTGTGGCACTCTCTTGTTACAGAGAAGCCACAAGCTTGGCCCCACTTCATCCATCCAGCTTTGATTTGATGGTTCACATCCTCATCGATATCCCCATCCTTCTGAAGCACTGACCTCAAATATCGAAAGGTGTCCTTCGGAGGCACCACCTGTCCATCAAGGCTAACTCCTCGTCCTCATGCCTAGTAGTACTGAAACCGCATATATATATATGTATACACACACACACACACACACACACAAAAAAAACATCTAATTGTACGCGCCGGTCGCTCAGTGAGCCGCTCGGGCTGGGAAGCCACACCTCCGCCATACTAGAGAAAATGATGGTAAAAGCAACTGGCAAATATCGTAACGGGTTTAATTTTTGTTACCGCTCCCTTGCGTCTCACTCCTGCCCTGCATCTCTGTTTGCTATTTAATCACAGTAGAAAAACAGTATACAGTAACGAGATAAATGCTTTGCGGATGCCACGCGTGGCACTAAGACCCACGCCTCTTACCACTAACCACTACTAGATCCTCTAATCGTAAATAAAAGATCATCTAGTAATTGGTTTATCATATATTGAAAGTAGCATTACCATGTAGGCATGATACTAAAAAGTGAAGAAACCTCGTAAAAGAGAAAAATGATGATAATATACATTACTAAATTACTATGTTCTCTTCAATCTGTTACTACATTCCATTAACTCATTACTACATGCGAATTTTCCTAATCGTGTATAGCTAGATTATGCGGAAATTATGCGGAGAGGCCCAATGAACATGGTCCATTACTACATGCCATTAACTTGTTACGATGGATTATTCTCCCATGCTTTAGCAAATGAAGGTAAAAACACTAGTGAATATAGTAACAAATTTAATTTGCATTACTACAGCCACACGACTCTTGATGGTAATAGATATTAGAACATTACTATGTTCCCTTCACTCTGTTACTGCATTCCATTAACACATTACTACACCTAATCATGGATAGCTAGATTTATGCGGAACGGCGTAATGAAATGATCAATTACTACATTCCATTAACACGTTACGATGGATTTCTGTTACTACAGCCATGCGAGTCATCTCCGCCCCGCATGTCTATCTCCATTACTACTTTCTGTTAATTAATTACGATGGATTTTCCACCCGGTCCAACCACTCACGGAACAGGGGAATAGATGGTTCGGTCAGGCTAATTAGCCCGCCGATGGCTGGTTGGGTTGGGTGGCCGGAGCGCACGCTAGCTTATAATGCGCTCAGGAGTACTTTGCTAATCGTGCGCTCCGGTCAGACTACGCGCACCACTCCCTCGCCTCTGTAATCAAGGAACCATCGAACCTCGCGTATTTTTCTTCCACCTAGTAGTAAATTTAGTGGGAAACCTAGTAACGATATTAATTTCATTACTATTGCCTCCCCCTCGTTCACGATCCGCGCACATATGACATAGTAATGAACAATAGGAAACATAGTAAAAGAATTTATTACGTTACTGCTGCCCGATCTAGTTTTATAAGTGTCCGCTTCCATTAAAAAACTATGGAATATAGTAATCAACCATCATAACCGTTACTGTCTGGACAATTGTCCTAGTAAATGTAATGAGAATTAGTAGTAATAAGAGTTCTCCAATGGTAAAGCGAGAGTATTTGCTAAAGTAATTGAGCGATTTTTTTTCAAGTAATGTAGGGATTTTTCACATGGCAGATCACCGTAAAGTTGAAAAGTTTCAGGCTGTAGTAACACATACAATGCAAATTACTACATGTGGCTTGCCACTTACGATCAAAAGAAAGTGTGGAACCACGTGGGGTGGGTTGGATCTGCGGAGGGGTGCACATGCAGTTACTTTTTTTTCCTAATCTAGGTACGGCTCGATGGCTTGCTAAAGTATGCCTGCGCGCATGGTGGCTATCGTACGCTCCGGCCACTTCGAGCCAGCCGGTGCGCTAAGTAGCCAGACACGCTAACCAGGTGCAATGGCGTGCACGCGATCGTGGAGAAAAAAATCGACCGTAACAACATTACGACCAAAACTACTCCACCCACTTTGGGATGCCTGGTAAAAAATCTAGGTTCATTACTATCCTTACTTAATATATTACTGCCAACGATAAAAATCCTAGGTCCATTACTATCTATAGTTATTCTATTACTAGTAATGTTTTCGATATGTCAGTGCCTAGTAAAAAAACCTAGGTTCATTATCATCCATACTTAATATATTACTGCCAGTTGTAAGAAGCCTAGGTCCATTACTATCTATACTTATTCTATTACTGGCAATGTTTAAGGATGAAACCTTCGATATGTCAGTGCCTAGTAAAAAAACTTAGGTTTCATTACCATCCATAGTTAATATATTACTGCCAATGGTCCATTACTATCTATACTTATTCTATTACTGGCAATGTCCAGGGATAAAATCTTTGATATGTCAGTGCCTAGTAAAAAACTTAGGTTCATTACCATCCATACTTAATATATTACTGCCAATGAATAGTGACCGAAGATCAGGACGTAGCGGGCAAACACATAGTAATAATATTAAATGTGTTACTTTTTCTTCCACATGCCGTTACCCTCAAACAACCTGGCTTGTGGCATGACTCCTGATTAGGAGCGGCCGGCGCGTAGCTTAAGTAAAAATGCGCGCACGCACATAATGGGTCAGACTATTCATCACCCAGGGTGAAGAATAATTTCTTTGCTCTTTTATTACATCACTACACTACATTTTTTCATCACGTAAATTTTGTCTTACGTCAAAAGTGAAAGAGAAGGTAATAACACATGTGTCGATTGAAAAAGGTACAGTGACAATTAATATGGATCGAGGGGGGGGGGTATAAAATGTACATACTACATACAAATGTAAAATTACTCATATCTTACTTTCTTTTACCGATTTCTGTGTAATTAGCAGAAGAGCTCGTGTGTTGCAACGGGAGAAAAAGATACCACATGCCCCTAACCCAATAATCCTGAGTCAAGACCCCAATAGGTCCATGTTCTTTATTTCAACATGACATTCCATCTGTTTTGCCGTTTGTCCCCCGTCTCATTCTTGCCTACGATGACCTTAGTGCTTACAGAACCACATCGTGTTTGAAAGTGGTCAATCCTAAGTCGTCTCTCTCTCGGCATAAGATGAGAATATTTTTTTCCCTTGCTAGGTTTTGGCAAGGTGTGCATGTGTGGTTATCGATGGTTTCTTTCGTCTCCAATTTTATTTGTCGAGGTGTTCATTTGCAATCCAGATCGGCACTGGTACGAAAGAAAGACGGATCGTGCGCTACTGATCAAGGTTTCGCTCTAAATAGCATTTTAAAAATGGTTAAGAGATAAAATGAAATCATATTCAGATTGCACATATTTTTTCTAATCAAATTTCATATATAGCATGTTAAAATTGGAGTTAGGGTTTAAAAGATATGAGTATTTCAAAAAAAGCATTTGCTCTCGATGGATTGCGGGTTAATTACCATAAAAGGCATGGTGTTTCCTATAAAAATGCAAAAAAACAAAATGTTTGTCACTTAAAAGTGAATTGCAGGTTCATTACCACGAATTGTAGGGGGTTTTCTGTAAAAATAAAAACAAAGGGACTTTGTTTCACTGGACGCAATTATCTTAAGGTACTTCTAAAAACAAAGGTGGGCACATTATGTACTTTTTTTCACAATCATAACGTGCCCCCTTTGTTTCACTGGTAAAAGGACGCGATTATCTTAAGGTACTTCTAAAAACAAAGGGGGGCACAATCATAACGTGCCCCCCTTTGTTTCACTGGAAAATCGCGTCCTTTTACCATTGGGAGTTTCTCCATTCATTAGTGGTAACTAACTCTGAGATTTTTTTTACTACAATTAGCAAAGCTTTTACCATAAGGTGGCAAGAGGTTGGTTGGTCGTGCGCATGGTGTCTAACTAGAGCATAGAATTAGCGCTTTTGCGCTCAGGCTTTATAACCTAAGTTAGCACTAAACTATCGCATTAGTAAGGCAAGACAGTCAGTTGGATATATTGTTGTTATCTTCTACTCCCTCCGTCCGGGTTTATTAGGCCTAAAGACAACTTCTCTTAGACCAAGACACATAATAATTTGCTCACATAAATTCTTCAATTCCACTCTCAATGCACTCTCTCACATGCATGCAGCCAATGAAAAAGCACGCATGAAGTGTATTAATTTCCCATTCATGGCACCAACAACAATGGCTTTCAAGGCAACCAATGAAATGGTTGCACGCATGCACCTTTCCAAAGCGAGGCCTTATAAAAAGGGACATGCTTGTGATGCTAAGAGGCCTAATAAACCCGGACGGAGGGAGTACTACCTTAAGATAAATAATATAATCTAACGCAAGACAGTCAGTTGGATATATTGTTGTTATCTTCTACTACCTTAAGATAAATAGCATAATCAAAATAATTCACAGGTATAGCAACATAGATCACAAGTTCACAACCAACATTTTTTCGGTAGAAAGATGTAATACCTTTGAAGATGAAGAATGGGAACATGCAGGCCTTCTTCAGAAAGAGTAGCATGCACTAATTTGAACCAGACATGGTCACACAAGGGGTAGAAGTGTTGCTAGTACTCGTAGTAGTATTAGAGTTACTTTCAGTAACCCTCTCATTGCTTGGTTCTGTAGTGAGACAAACTTCAGAAGTAGATGTTGTTGGGCTATAGCTTGGTCTACCACTTCCTCTAGTTTCCAAACGCTCCATCATCCTCGATACAGATGCAATTCCATTATTAACTTCGCGTCTCACTTCAGAACCAAGATCAGACACAGATGAGTTACGTGAAAAAAGCCTCTCCTTCCACCCTCGAGTACTTTTTGTAATAGATTCTTTGTACCTGAATTGCATACAAGGTTAAGCAGCTTTGAGAAAAATATTTATTAAATTATAAGGAATACGTCCAAATAAATTTACGTACTTCGAGGAGACAGCATTTAAGCGCAACTTTAGAGAATCTGAGAAAGACTGAACATCTGATGGCCCAGCCCTGTCATTACCTACTGGAGTTGATTGTCCAGAGGAATGTCTCCTGATAACAGCAGAATCATCACATAATTTGATCACCAAAAATATTAGCATAGGCTGTATAGCTCAGTTTACCTGTTGAAAAACCTAGGACTGGATACGGGGGTACTATTTCCAGATGAAACAACAGCATCTTGTTCAGCATCGTAGGTAAGGACCCCCGGACTTTGGTTGCCTGCTTCTTCAATGGGATTAGCATGTGGTGGTAAGTCACCAACTCTGGGAACAAGAATCCTCAAGTCGTCAGCACCTTCACCCTGAGCAGAAGATGATGAAACAGAGCCAGCAGGAGTATTTGGATGTGCAGAGAAAACCAAGAACTGTGGGCTGCCATGAGAGCCAGATCGGTTCCTCTGCCCCTCTCTTCTACCATGTTGGTGTGACCTTCCCATTGCTGCAGCAGCAGCTAGGTGTTGCAGTATACGCTCTTCAATTTCAGCATCATTAGCAACAACAGGTAACTGCACACGATCACCATTTGAATTAGGATAACATAAGAAAAAGCACTTCACTGGTCAAAGCAGAAGAAATATGTCACAACAATTAGTTCCAGTATACATACATGCTGCACTTCGAAATCACCAAGAGCAGAATGATGAAATATAGTCGTATTTCGAGTTTGATTGGTTCTTATATTCCTCTCCCGCTCTACTGCCTCCAGAAGCTCTTGACTGAGATATTAGTACAGCCATAGTTAGAAAAATTCTACTCCCTCCGTCCCATATTAATTGACGCTCAAATGGATGTATCTAGCACTATTTCAGTACTAGATACATCCGTTTGAGCATCAATTAGGCCCTCTTTGATTCGCAGGATTTTCAAATCGTAGGAATAGGAAAAGTATAGGGTTAGAGTGGCATGCACACATGAATCCTACAGAATTAGCATGGAGTGTTTGATGGCACAGGAAAAGCAAAGGAATTGTAAAAAGAGATTGGAGTGGATGTTAGATTTCCTATGAAATGTAGTACAAAAGATTCCATAGGAAAAATTCCTATGGGATCCAATCCTATGAATCAAAGGACCAACATAGGAAAAATTCTTAAGAATTTCAATCCTCCAGAAATCCTATAGAATTCCTTTGAATCAAAGGAGCCCTAATATGGGACGGAGGGAGTACGTGTTGAACAACATGTTTGGCATTTGAATATCCAATGAATATCAATATATATTTCCAGCACTTGCCTGGTAGGATCCTTCATACTGACAGGCTGCCAGCACATAGGGCACTGAGAACTTCTTTGACACCTACAAAAATACTACCGATCATTAATGTATAATGCACAAATATTTGAATAGGGAAAAAACAGTCCAAGCAATAGCCATGTCAAAGCAGTTCTATACACGCTCAATTAAACTGTAGAACATCCCAAGGGGACTTTTCAAGTGAAATAGTTTTCCAGTAAATTCCCCAGTAGCTTCCAATGAAGTACCACCTCTGTAACTAAATGTAAGACATTTTTTGACACTATGGCAGTGTAAAAAAAACGTCTTATATTAAGTTACGGAGGGAGTATAAAATTTCACTAGCTATAGTATCAAATTATATTTGGCATATTGCAAGATCAGCAGAAGTGTTGCAAACCTTGTAGGCATGTACACCTCATACTTATGATACATACAAAATATGTGAAAGGTAAGTTACAGTTGTGTAATCATCCATTAATGAAAACAAGCAGTTATGGAGTTATAGTATGCATGTAGTTATGTTGTTCATTTTCGACCGCAAAAAAGTTAAGTACGGTATAAAAATTAGCCACATGAAAAGAATATCAGTAGATTGGTAGTCAAAAAATACTTCAACAATGTATCTTTAAGATTGTTAACATACAACGTCCAAAATCGATGATAAAAATATATGTCCTTGAAAACAGTGAAGACATGTACAGGCGGACATCTCAATAATTCGATGAAGTACTATTGCCAATACACAAGCAAATCATATAGGATTTGCACCCAGGAAAACAGTACTGGAACAAGCCACCAGCAGAACGCTACTAAGTAAAAAACATGATTTTTAGGGACAGGAAAAGAACAATTAATCAGACTCAAGCTGGCCAATCCAGCAACTGCAAACCGAACAACTGACCTAAAGCGTACCAGAAGAAAACAATAACAGTCTATCTAGCTCATCTAGCATGCATGTCAAAAAATGGGTAACCTACTAGGTCAACTTAGAGATATATGTATGGTTCACATAAAACCTTTTTTACGAAGGGAAGAGTAAAGTCTATTTTAAATCAAAACTTGAATTTAACAGAAGACGAGCAGATTTCATAGTTCTATTAACCATTAGATTCAGGAGCCATATGAGTTCCAGATGGAAATAGGTACAGAGCGCACAACAAAAATATATAAGGTGGCCACAAGTCATGAGCTGCATATTAAAGTCAGTATCATACCATTCAAGAATGCATTGGAGATGGAACTCATGTTTGCAACCTGTCAACTGGAAAAGAAGAAATCGTAACAAAACGGTTAGAAGCTGACCTCTGAGCAAACAAAATAACCGAAAGAAATGACATCTTACTGTGGAAGGATCACTCTCACAGAAAGCCTCAAGACAAATGCTACATGCATCATCACATGCATCCTGGACCCCACCCTCTACAAAGGCTGCAGGCGATGTCAAACTCTCCATCTTGGCTTTCTCATCAGTTCCAGATGCCATTGCAAAGGAAAAAACAGCCCTGGAATCTAGAAAATGGATGTAAAAATAAAGGCACAAAGTTAACACTTCAAAACATCATAGCACTAATAACATAGAGATGAGAGTGAACATGCTCACTCTGACATACGAAACCAGTTCATAACAGATTTAGCAACAACAGAAAAAAAGTGGTGATATACAAACCGAATCCAAAAGCAAATGGTGCCAATATTTTTAATGAGACTGTGTAAAGTAGAACACTACATTAAATGTTATACCAGTCAAAAAACCAATCTAAATCCGCATAACAACATCCAATTCACAGGCCACCGTGTTCCATTTCAAGTTAAACGGGCTATATTTAGTTACATAATAAGAATTGAACAAGTTTTAGATCAAACTATGTTGTCCCTGGTTATACTAGAAAGCCAAATAGGCAAAGAAAGTAACAATTATATGCTAGGATTACCAGCTTACAGTAAAGCATTCGAAACGAGCTGAACCATCAAGCATCCGAAAGGTGAAAGAAGTACAGAAAAGTATGTTTTCCATGTACTGAGACATTGCATAAATAATTCTGTTACAAAATGCTAAAGAACCTCATCTAAAATTGGCACCATTTATTGGGATAGTCTAACTCATCCAATTAGCAAAACAGAAGGACCACAGAAGTCATTACTTAACATTATGTCATCAGTGATCACGCACCGGCAAGAGAAAGAGGACCGCTATTTAGTAAGTGGTGGCTCAATCAGTTGCACTTGTCGCAAATTTATTTATAACCCCTCACTGAGATCAAATCAAATGTAAAGCAACAACACAACCGACGAAATTTGCATCGCATTAAGCACTTAGTGAGCTCAAACGTCTCTAATCATGATCCAAGATACCCTGTCAACTCGCAGCGGAAAATTAGGTTAAAATAAAAAATGCCAGACTGCCAAACAAAATACGCTACATATCGTTGAGAGAAAGCGCCAATTATCCGCTAATCGAACCCCGATTCGCAGTTCGAACCAAAAACCCAACTAAACTCAAAAACACCAGCTACCTAGCACATCGCCTGGAATTTCCCCACATCCAAACCCCGCGCTGAACACCGCAGAAGCAAAGCCTAGCAGCCGAGATGTTTACCGACTGTTCACAACCCCGAATCGGGGATGGCTCGCCGTCCGATCACGATCGCGACGAACAAAAAAGGTGGGGGGCGCGGGCTAGCTCGGCGAGGGTCCTCCTGATCTTACCGGGCAGGACAGGGCGCCGACGAGACGCCTGAGGGTCGACCCGATTCGATGCGTGGATGAGCACGGAACCCTCTGTCTCCCTCTCGCTTTCTCTCTCGTCTCTGTATGAGCGAGACAGTGGGGAAAAGGGGAGGAAAGGAGGAGAAAGCTATTGCCAACAAACGCGTGCTTCATCTCCGCTCGGCCCCCACCTTACCAATGGGCCCCACTCCTATGACCACCTCACTTCGGGGTTTGCGCGCCCTCTGACGCGCATGACCTCACCATAAACCACTGACGTGTGGGGTTAGCCAAGTGTTATGGAGTACCGGTACGACCGCGGTAAGAAGGGGGATTGGAAGGTCTCGATAATGAGGTAAGTGGGTCCCATTTTAAGTACGCCTTGACCGCTTGTTCGCCAGTTCACGTTGCGCATCGGTGGGCGTTGCAGGGTAGGTGGTTCGAGACGGTGGTCGGTAAGAGTGTTTTTGTTTCGCGGGTGGGCATGGATCCAAGGTGTCAGTCGCGTCAGCGGTGTTTTTCGTAAAATCTATTATATTTATTATATAGATTCACTGGAAATACAAAGGAACATGGTACGTCCATTTTGCATCATATTTTCCTACTGTCATTTATAGTGTTTACATTCAATATAACACTTTTGTGAAGTAATTCTAATGTCTTTTCTCTTATAATATGTAAGATTTATACAAAGTGGGGGATTACTGACAGTTGGATTCTAGATTTGAAAAAGTATGTCAGATATGCCTAGTCTGCACATTTCCAAATAAGCTGAAATTTTAAAGAGATTTATTTTGAAATATATAAAAGAAATTAGAGAAAAGAAATAGCAGAGGGGGCCACCCAGGTGCCCACTAGGCACCAGCGCGCGCCTATCCCCCTCCCCCAGGCGTGCCCCGGTGGTAGTGGGCTCCCTGACCAGCCTTCGGCGCCCATCTTCTGGTATGTAAGCCCATTTGCCCTAGAAAAAATCAAGAGAGGACTTTCAGGACTTAGCGCCACCGTCTCGAGGCGGAACTTGGACAGGAGCACTTTTACTCTCCAGCGAAGCGATTCCACCGGGGATATTGAAGCCACCGTCATCACCAACAACCCTCTCATCATGGGAGGGCCAATCTTCATCAACATCTTCAACAGCACCATGTCATCTCAAAACATTAGTTCATCTCTTGTGTTCAGTCTTTGTATCAAAACCTTATATTGGTACCTGTGGATGACTAGTAGTGTTCATTACATCTTGTAATTGATACTAGTTGGTTTATTTGATGGAAGATTATATGTTTAGATCAATTAAGCTATTCCATACCCCTCTGATCTTGAGCATGAATATGTTTTGTGAGTAATTACTTTTGTTATTGAGGACATGGGAGAAGTCTTATGTAACACCCCGAATCCGATGCGCCAGGTGTCTTTCAGTTACCCGCCGTCATTGCCATGTCATTTGTTTGCGTGTTGCATCTTGCCATGTTATCATCTGCATTTCTTCTACATGTTTTTCAAAACTTGCATCCGTTCGGGTCCTCCCGGTTCTCTCCGTTGTCCGTCCTGAGCCCAACCACACTCCCACGCGCCGCGGCACCTCCCAGTCCTTGGTTTTGTGAGCCGCTGAAAAACGTTCTTAGAATGGGCCGAGATTTGCCGAGTGGCCTTGGTATATCACCGTTGGACCGCCCGTCAAATTTCGTTCCATTTGGAGGTCGTTTGATGCTCCAACGGTTAACCGAGTTAACCAAAGCCCCTCTCTCTTTGTAGCCCAACACCCCTCCAAACAGCCCACCTAGCCCATCTAACTCCCCTTCATGCTTTCCGCCGTTCGATCACGATCGTGTGGGCGAAAATTGCACCTCATTTGGACTCTCCTAGCTCCCTCTGCCTATAAATTAGTCCCCTCCCCCGAAATTTCGGGCAAACCCTAGATCAAAACCACCCTTTCGCCCGCCGGACATGTCCGCCCGTCGCCGGACGCGTCCACTGCCGCCAGCCACGTCGCCCGGCCAATTAGAGGCCGCCACCTCAACAACCGCCGCCTCCGCGCCCAATCCCCGCCTGCCACGTCGCCCCTCCGGCTCCCCACCATCGTCGCGGCCCGCTAGGCCCATCGCGGGCCCGTGCGAGCCCACTGCCGCGCCCCGCGCACCAACCCGCTCCGACGCCGTCGGACCTCGCCGCCGACCACCGCCCTTCGCCGCCGGTCGCCGGACCCCGCCGTCGGCGAGCTCCGTCCCGCCATGGCCAGACCTCCTCCACCACCGCGCCAGGACGCCGCCGTCCCTAGACCGCGTCGTCCATTGAACAAAATGACACGGCCCCGCTGCACCGCTTCGTCCCGCGGGATCCCCCGTCCCGTTTTCTGCGAGGTGAGAAATTGCCCGTGTCCCAGGTTTTCAACATCATGTGCATATGTTTGACATGCCATAACTTGATGCTTAGTGCTCCGTTTTGCGTGCATAATATATCAAAATGTTCATCCCAGAGTGCTCTTCATGATGGTCTAGTTTGTATGCATGTTACTATTCATATTGATGCCTTAATCCTCGTTGCAAAACTGCTAAATGATATAAACTGCTGAAATCTGTTGTTTGCTAACATCATGTATGCCTTTTGTGAGTGCCACAACTTTGTCCTTGTTGATGCTATAATGATGATCTTGATATGCACATGTTTTGCTCTTCATGCTCTACACGGTGGTGTGCTTTGCATTCATGTTATGGTGCATCTTGATATCTTAATCCATGTTGCAAAAGTGCATGTTGTTGTTAACTACTGAAAACTGTTGTAACTTGTTGATTTGTCATTTTTGTTGCATTTTGTGTGTGCATCTTATGAGCATGATGTCTATATGTTTTAGGAGCATCTTTATGCCATATTTATAGGGGTGCAATCCATGTATTTTTATATGCCCTGTAGTGAGTGCATCAAGCTTGTGAAGTGGGCCACATGCTGTTAACTTTATGTCAATGCTGAAACTGCTATATCATGTTGCCATGTTTGCTTGATGCTACCAACTAATCCATGCATAATGTGGAGATGCTTACTTGAGATGTTTTGTTGTCTATGCTATGCTCTATCATGCCATGCCTCGTGATGTCCTATATATGTCTTGTAGGATATGTTTTCATTGCCATGAACATGCTTATATAATGTTCCAGATTCCTGTTAACTTCATGATGCCTTGTTGTGAGGTTGTTATTGAGTGATCCATGCATCTTTTGGAGATACTCCAATTACATGTTTTGAAGTATGATATGAGTACTTTGTTTAACTGCCATGTTTGCCAATTTTGGATGTCATATGCCTCTGTTCCATGCTTGCAAACATGCCATCACAATGTTGCTGTTTTACACTTGCTGAAACTGTTTCAACTTTCAATCTTGGCATGTTGGTTCCCACTAATCCATGAGCCATATGTTTATGATGCCAGGATGTTATTAGCTCTTTGTTATGTTTACTTTGATGCCATGCCCTTGGTTGCTATGTTTACTTGCCGTAGCTTGTCTCTTTCTTGCTCTCAAGTTGCCATCATATTAACTCTGCTCATGCATATGCTGCTGTGTTATAAAGTTGCATTTTGCATTGGTCATATTGGTTTAATCTTGATGCCTATGAACCTGAACATTTAATGATATTTGAAGTATGTTATATGTACATGAAGTGCATGTCAAGTTTGTGCTCATAAGATTCCTGTAGCATGTTGTTTTGATGTTTGCATCATGCCTACTTGCTGTTTTGGGCAGATTGTTGTTATAACTTGTTTGGAGTGTATGTGTTGCACCGTTG